GATGTACAGGGGGAAGGGGGGGATTAATCATTGCGTTGTACAATTTGATAGGGCAGGGGTGAGGGAAATTGAAAGAATTTGTTTTAATTTGTATTAGAATTTTGTAAATAAACTTTTGAAAAAATAAAAAATAAATTGTGGTCAGTTAAAAAAAAGAAGCTGGATTATATGAAGAAAAATGTGGCATTAGGATTTTTTTATGAATTTTTTTTTATTTTAATAATTTTAATGAACATTTACAGAGATTTTTTGGATTTCTGTTCATTCATTGTTGCACTTTTCTCCCTGCCCAGCTCCCTCCCCCCCCTCCTGGCACTGAGTTTGCTCCTCTCTTTGAAAAGTAAAAGAAAAAGTCTTTCTTTGGTATACAATCCCACCGCCCCAAGTACACTCAACTATGCGACCTTAATTGTGGACTCTTGTGATAACTATAATACCCTATCATATATCGCTTTTAATTTATTCTCTCCCTCATCTGTTTCAGTGCAGTATACACAATTTATCCAGTTTTTCTCAGTCTTACCCCAACCCTGATATCAGTCCCATTTTACAGCAATGGCACCATGCAGTATTTGTCCTTTTGCGACTGAGATTTTTCACTTAACGTAATGTCCTCCAGGGTCACCCATTTTGAGTAATATTGCATGAGTTCTGTGTTTTTCAGTGCAGTATAGTATTCCATTGTGTGAATATACCATAGCTTCTCTATTCATTCGTTTGTTGATGGGCACCTGGGTTGTTTGCAACTCCTTGCTGTTGTGAACAAAGCCATGATAAACATGGCTGTGCATATTTCTGCTTGGATGTCAGTTATGGTCTCTTTGGGGTATATTCCCAGTAGTGGAATTGCTGGGTCAAATGGTATCTCTATTTGCAGTTTTTTGAGAAAGTGCCATACTGCCTTCCACAGTGGTTGTACCATTTTACACTCCCACCAACAGTGAATCCGGGTTCCAGTTTCTCCACAACCTTGCCAGCATTTGTTGCTTGCTGTTCTGTTAAATTTTGCTATTCTGACTGGTGTGAGATGATATCTCATAGCTGTTTTGATTTGCATCTCTCTTAGAGCCAGGGATTTTGAACATTTCTTCATGTGCTTGTTGGGCATCTGAATGTCTTCTTAGGTGAAGTGTCTGTTCATATCCTGTGCCCATTTTTCAGTTGGATTATTTATTTACCTTTATCTTGCTGTGGTGCTCAAGTATTTTATAAATTCTAGATATAAGTCCCTTATCTGACATGTCATTCCCAAATACTTTTCCCCAGTCTGTGGCTTCCCTTTTTACCCTGTTGGAGAAGTTTTTGGATGTGTATAGGGATTTGATTCTTAGAAGGTCCCATTCCTCTTTTTTATCTTCTCCTGGTTGTAGATATTTCAGGATACTTGGAAGACTGTTTATGTTGTGGATTAGGACTATTAGAGTTCTTCCAAGGTTTTCTTTAATGAAGGTTGTAGTCATTGGTTTTAGTCCTAGATCCATGATCCACCTTGAGTTGGTTTTTGTATATGGAGTGAGGTGTGGATCTTGCTTGAATCTTCT